TGCAAAAATTGTAAGGCATGATTCTAGGCAGGAAAGCAAGAGAAGTTCTACCAAAGATAGCAAAAAGCGTTCAGGTTCAGAATCTAGCACAAGAAGCAGTTCTGAGTCGCCAGGTAGCATCAAAGAAAAGAAGCCTAAGAAATCGAAGCATAGTCGGTCACAGTCTGTGGAGAAATCTCAAAGGTCTGGTAAGAAGGCAAGCCGCAAACACAAGTCTAAATCACGATCAAGGTAGTATTATTTTAAGTTTCTTATTTGATTTATGTATTTATTTGTATTTATATTCATCATCATGCCTGCAACCTATATATTTTTACAAATTAAGCTAACCTCTTTAAATCATTTGGGAGGGGGGCATTTAGAATTGCATTTTTCTTAAAAGAAGGAAAGATGATGATTAAACCTGAAGAGTGTGTGTGTGTAATTTTGATTATTATTTTTCTCTTTAATTTCCCCCTTCTCTTTATTTTTCAGATCAATGACTCCTCCTCGTCGTAAGCGCTGAGGAACAATATGGCGCTAGTGATAAATTTAAAAATTCCATGAGTTTTAAAGGGCTTGTCTCATTATAGAGGCACAATTGTGGCTACGTAGGTGAAAGCTGAACCTCTTTTTTAAAAACAAAAGATCTGTAAATAGCTGTATTTTTTGGAAATGCTGCTCGGAGTTAAGTACTTGTTAGGATTTCTTTGTACTTCACATTTTTCAAAAACGGTAGTGCTTACTAAGAATATAAAACATGCCATTCTCTTTCAGCTGTAATGTTCTTAATTGCTATTGAATGTATTGTGATGTCAATAAAATTCTTTAGTTCATTTTTGTTTAAATCCTTGCATTTTAATTTATTTTAAATTACGTAATTTTTACAAGGCATTTTTGTTTTGTAAAATTATTTATAGTACTTGTGACTTTTAACAGTGTTTTAAGTTTCATCCTTTAATAAGTTAAGGTCAATCCCTGGGCACAGGAATTGTTGAGAATAATTGGTGGGGATTTTTAAACTCTTGAAACATCATATACTGTGTGTGAATAAAATGTGGATAATTCTTAATGTAAAGCATACCTAGCCAAGCACAAATAGCAATGAAGTGCACGTATCCAAACATGTGTAATGTGAGTTTGTAGCTTTGGAACTCTATTCCTCAATATCTGCTTTCATTTTCAGAAGCACAGTGTGGAGGATTCATACTGCTAGATAAGGAAGATTTATTTTTTTACTTAAACATTACTAGGTCTTCTAACCCTTATTTAGGATCAGAATTACGTTTCTAAAAGGGTGGGTTTTTTGACAACACACTAAGTTGGCTAGAGAGGTAGTCATCTGGCTGATAAAAAATACAGTGAGCTCATGATAGGGTTGCCAAGTCCATCTTTGGGGGCGTTCCTGGAGGGGGCGGGGCATCCCCGACGTGATGATGTCATGTTGGGAACGTCTCCCCCCCCCCCCCCCCACACCCCGGTGGCCGACCCCCCCCCCCCCCCCCCCCGGCCACCCGTGTGCTGGATCTCCAGAAACGGCAGTTCCCTGCACTTAAAGGAGCCGGCGTTTTCCTTTTAAATGCAGGAGCCGGCGTTTCCCCTTTAAGAGCAGCCATGTTTCCCTTTTAAGAGCACGAAGCTGGCATTTCCCTGCAAGCTTGCGGAGATCCGGCTTGGGAGGAAACACGGGTTCCACACACTTAAAGGGAGAGAGATGGGTGGCTGTGGGTGTTGGGGGCGGGGCTTCCCCCACCGGCCATCTGGCCGGCGGCGGGTAGAACCCCCCCCCCAAAAAAACAGGGGACCCCTGGCAAACCGGGGGTTTGGCAACCCTGACCTTCCAAACAGACGTGTGCAAATATGTTATGACTTCTTACCCCAGAAGCTTCAGAATGACAATTGGGATGTTCTGTTGGAAGGCTTTTTTGGGGGGGGGTTGGGGTTGTTTAAACAGTGGTTTGCTCAGGCTAAAAAATGCTAGCTAAGGCTGTGCAATCCTATTTATACTTACTTGAAAGTAAAACCTCATGAAGTAATTGGCCTTCTGAGTAAGCCTGCATAGGAATGAGCTCCACAACAGAATTCTATACCCTAGAATTTAATTTCTTTTCCTTTCCATTACTATTGGAGGAAAAAATGAACTCTAAAGAACAAACTTGATACACATGTTTTTAGAGAACTCTGGATCTTAGAAAAATGGACTCAGAAAAGAAGATGCTTGGGATTCAGATGCTAGAGCTTTTTCACTTGCTTTAAAATTAACGACTGAGGAATACAGCTTTCCATAATCTACTGCATTAATAGAAATCTGGGATTAAAAATGTTTAATAAACAGAATTGTGCATGAAAGTTTTATATATATATATATATAGTCACAGGTCCTCTGTGTGTGATAGTCTCGTTAGCTGCGGAACCTGCCCTGGTATGCAGCCTCTATTGCCTGCCTGCCTGCCGGTGGGTACAAGCAATACTTTGATCCTGGAATTGTATTTCCATTGAAAGAAACAGAAATAACCATGGCGTCTTCAACTAATGGCTTTCATTCCAATACTAAAGAGTCTTTTTTTAAAAAAACTAATTTCTTATATGAGGACATCTCTACTTCTTTCTTTTCTCCCTGCACAAGAACTGCTGCCCTTCTTGTGGAAAGCAAACGGGAGTTTGCACTATGGCATCTATTAAGCTTTTAAAATAAAACAATCCCTGTTGCCCAATCCTAAATTTATAGGGGGAAGGGAGCCGGTGGGTTTAATCCTGGCTCCAGACTGGAACACCTTTTCCTTCCCTGAGCATCTGCTCTACAGCGCTCTCTATCGGGTTGGCAATTCTGGGTTGGGAAACACCTGGAAATTTTAGGGGCGGAGCCTGGAGAGGGAGGGGTTTAGGGAGGGCTTGTATCTGTGGCCATTGCATTTAATTTCACACAAGTGCACTGATCTGGGTAACAATTGTATGCCAATAAACAGAGCATACTTTTTGGTCTTTTAACAGATTCATAGATTTTTGCTTTGTAGTGTATATGGCAATCACATCACAAAAAACATTGGACCTATTCTTATTAAACTGTTGACATTGCATTAATTAAAAATTTTATTTTATAAAGCTAGAGTCCCAATTCTCAGTGTATTTTGAATAGAAAAGGGTAACCATTTCAAAGTTGCCCACACTTAAATTGGTCGTCTTTATCTTCGTCAATATGCTAAACTTCCAATTATTTCTTAGTTACTATATAATTACATACTATAAAGAACACTGTCTCCATTTTTTTAGATGAATGAGTTCTTAAGTAAAAAAATGAAGTATGGGAATCTGCATTATTCTCATATTCAAACTTAAAAGGCTGGGTTGGAATGTGACATTTTCCTCCAGAAACCAATTCAGGTTGTTTGTGTATGTATGTGTGCTATCATCCCCTGTTGAATCATTGTTCTGGTCTTGAAAGATGCCATTGCTCAGACAGAGGGGAAATAATGTAATCTGTTACTCAGTCCAAGAGTATCACCAGAACTATTTATTCTCCTTATTTCCCAATATATTTGTTTACATTACTTAACAGTCTGCCTTTCTCAGTGAGCCTCAAGGCCTAGAACACAATGTTAATCTCTAGGATGACACATCTAATAAGCAATGCATAAGAGTGGAATTGCAGAAATGTGAAACAAAGCTAGAAGTGCTCCCAGATATACCTGCATAGGAATTGTGGGTTTAGTAACCCATGGCAAAAGATGAGCAAAGGAAAATAAGATAAAAGGTTGAGATTTTTCTTCATAATGCAGAATACAGCTACACAGAATATTCAGGTTCCACTCACACTTTCACAGATATTTCATGTATTTGCATTAGGAAAGTTCATAAACTTTAAGGCTTTAGAACTTCATTTTGAGGAGTTAATATATCATACAAGCTACTTTAAAAAGTCAGTGTAGAATTAAATTAATAACCATTAGTCCTGCCCTTGATGGCTCAGGCTAGCTCCATCTTGTCAGATCTTGGAAACTAAGCAGCTCTGGTTAGTATTTGGATAGGAGACCATCAAGAGAGCCTAGGGTTGCAATGCAGAGGCAGGCAATGGCAGGGTTGCCAGTTTATTTATATTTGGAGATGTTGGGGGTGGAGCCTGAAGAGAGCAGGGTTTGTGGAGGGGGGAGACTTCAATGGAATATAAAGCCAGAGAGTTCACCTTCCAAATGGGCCATTTTCTCCAGGTGTCTCTTGGAATCAGTTGTAATAGCAGGAGATCTCCAACCACCACTGGGGGCCTGGGACCCTACTTTACACACAGTAACCAACAGATTCTCACTCACCTGAGGGAAGAGGCATTTGAAATAAGTTATTGACCATTAAAAGAGTAAGAAAGGCTATTAACCTAGCCACAAATCCCTGGTAGCACACATTAGGAGTATGAATAGGATATTCCTTGGTTTCAAAACGGAGTGGAGGTGGAAATCAAATATGTGTTTAATATACAAAGATTAGCTTGACACTGCCTGATCCCGCGTTTCCAACACATTAGAAAGGGAATATATGGAAATGTGTCACAAGGAAGAGTATTCATAGCCAGCTGACTTTCTCATTGAGAATCAAGGAGGATTGCAAAATACATTTTCTAAAAATGCTACCAAGTAACACAAGTCACCCCATGAATAGTGTCACAGGACTGGGATTACAAAAATAGTGTGGGATTTAAGGAGAGTTTTGAGAAATGGGATGAAGACGAGACGCTCCAAGTGAAGGACAAAAGTCGAAAGGGCCACTTTAACAACCAGCTCCAAACGTCGGAAATAAATGCCATTATGTTCAGGAGGTGTATTCTCAATTCAGACAGGCATACAAGTGTGAAGTCTGAGAGGAACAGAAGACGCGAGAAAAACCTGCAACAATTCTTCTGCAGCGTTGTAGGACTACCTTGTAAGTAGTCCGGTTGACAGGATGAGCGTCGAGTTTTTTAGAGCAACGGACAGGGCGACGGAGCTCCTTGACTGTCGGACCTGGAGGCTGGCCTCCGCTTGTGACGGGGAGCGTCAAGTCTCAGTGGTAGGGAAGGAGGAGCTGAGGGCGTCACGGCCGAGCGTGGATGGCTTGGACCGTAGATAGTGAGGAGGAATGGAAAGTTGGGGTCGTTGCTGGCTGAGTAGAGCAGGGCGGCTCTGGGTTTCTTGCAATGAGATGGCGGGAGGCCGGAAGGTCAATCGGCGCGCCTTAAGCCTGCAGGCAGCGCTCGGTGAGTTCCCTTTGTATGTCCTCCATAGCTCTGTGTGGCGCTAGTCTTTTGCTTTTTCCTGTCAGCTCCACTGGGAGCTGCATATTATCAGAGCATATTCCAACCATATTGCTGCGCCCTACTGTTTTGTCGGTCAGGATGTGACCTGCCGTGTCGAAAGTCAAGTAAGTTCTGCCCTACGCTGACGTAGAAAGTGATACCTGTTGCGTTGTTTGCTGGACCCAATGTTATTGCTGGAGAACCAAACTAATGTAGCTGCAAAAAAGGCTGTATTCCAACTTGGCCTAGCCGGAATACAGGTGGCCAGATCAAGGCTGAGACTAAACTACTATAATTGCGCTGTGCATTAGTTTCCCCTCAAAATCAATTTAGAAACTCCAACTGGCTGAGAACACTGCAGCTCAGCTATTATTGGGAGCTACACCTAGCACACATCAGTTAGCAGGCTCAATTTAAGGTATTGGCTATCACCTACAAAGCCCTTCATGATCTTGGATCCTCATATCTGTGAGACCACCTCTCCCCCATGCTCCACTATGACAGCTTTGCTTGTGTCAGCAGGGCCTTCTGCAGGTACTGACCTGCAAATGGGCAAAATCGACAAATGCCTGTACAAGTGGCTTCTCCATTGCAGCCTGCACCTTATGGAATGGTCTGGCTGAGGAGATCAAGAAGGCTCCCAGTCTCCTGGCTTTCTGCAAACTATGCAGAATTATACAAGGGGGCTTTTCTGCACAGGCAACAGAGTTGCACCATACTAATGATTCACAAAGTTACTTGGATAAATGATTAGGCAGGCACTGTGGTCTATACCGCTGTATATTGATTACTGTAAGTAGGATCTTACAGTGTAATTTTTTGCATCATTTAATGTGTTAATATTTACACTTTGCTTCAGTTCTGTTTTTAGATTTCTGATTGGTTCTACAGCCCTAATCCTATTGTATTGTGTACTGAATTTCCCGTCCTATTTATTGTATTGACTAACTCTGGAGTCCAAGTGAGAACTAATATTTCTCTCTGTGTACCCACCCTCTGCACAAACTATTGTGATAGGGTTAGGACCAAGCTTGTAACTCCTGTGCTGTTAAAGCACCAAAGTTGTTTTTGCAATTTTATAATGGACAGTGCATCTCAAGAATACTACTGGAGCTTGTGTGGACTATGATTATGCATTGACAAGGTTATTTTATGAGTTCGCAAATGGTGCCACAAGCATATTGTTTGTAACAAATGGGTCTGAGTTGGGGGTGGGTGTGACAGACAAAAAGCTGTCCTGCCTCTGAAGGGAAAAAGAGCCCTTTGGCTGAGCCTATGGAAGCCCTGCTCCTGATTGCCTTTCAGAGTGGATCTGGCACATTGGAGGGAAGCACAGCAGGAGAGAATTCAGGTTTGCCTCAGGGAGAGCGCAGAGAGAGTTCAGTTCTGACTCTGGGGAAAGAACAGTGATAGCTCAGGTCTGGCTCAGCAGAAAGAGCAGATGGCTTGAATGTTAGCTCTGCCTGGTAGTGTGGCAGAGTGGTTTAACTCTACCTCTGGGAAAGATAGATTACCTGAATGTTAGTCCTGTCTCTGGCAATGAGCAGACCTTGTGCCATTTAGTCTGACTCTTGGGAAAGGGCAGGCTGGCACGGGTGGAATCCTGCATGTGTAAGAGGATCCAGCCTAGTGGCTAGTCAGTAAAAGCCTGTTTGTATCGAGGGGATGTGGTGTCGCGCAAGAGAGAATGGATGTCTGAGCCCAGAGCTCTCCCTTAACCTACCCAAATCAACGTAAAAAATCAACAAAGAAGATAAAATTTGATGCTAAAGAAACTTTGGAAAAGGAAGACTATACTGACCATCCCGTCGTAGAAATCCGACTGGTAAACTCTCATTTTGCTGAATATAGCGGAGACTATACTGGGGCGGGAGTCACGGCAAACTCAAAATGGCGGAGGAGAGCATCGAAGACACAGAAATCTTCTCTCCACTATCTAAGCTTGATCTTATGGAGATGGAAGATAGAATAGTGTTAAAAATGGGCACCTTATTAAAACCAGTGCAGGACCAACTGGTAGAAATAAAAAAGAATATAACTGAAACTCAAAAAAAAAAAGCTGAATGTGCAATAACTTTAGCAGAGACAGTTCAAGAAGAAACACGTAACTTGCAGATAGAAAACAACTCTTTAAACAATAAATTCCTCAATCTGGATATGGAACTTCATAAAAATAACATTAAATTCAGAGGCTTTCCAGAACAGCTTAATACAACTGAAGAATTGCATGTGTTCATGGCAGACTGGCTAGCAATTATCTTGAACTTAGGAGAGGAAGTGACTCCTGTTATTGTTAAAGCCTATCGTATTGGATCTCCAAAACCCCCCAAAGAAAAGGATATTGTGATTTCAGCTCTAGACTATAGAGTGCGTAAAAGAATTTTAACAGAAGCAAGGATAAAAGGTGCTTTTGAGTATGAAGGACATAGAATTGAAGCATTTCCAGACCTCCCTCCAGAGGCTATAAATAAAAGGAGAGAATTAAAACCAATCACCACGCAATTTCAGGAAGCTAAAATTAAATATAAATGGATTGGATCAGCAACATTACACATCATTTATAAAGGTGAAAGACTACAAGCAACAAATTTGGAATCTGGTTTTAAACTGTTAGAAAAGTTTGGCTTGAAAGTCCCAGAAGATCTCAACAAGAAGCAGTTCAAGAGAAAATTACAGTTCAATGCAACCCCACATAGGGACAGTAAAATTCCAGTACCTAATGCAAGACGAAGTACAGAACACTGACCTTTGTATAAGGGTATATATGTAATCTGAAGAAATAGACTGTGTTACCTTTCTTAAGAAGTAGCCAAAATTGTTTAATGGCTATGTTATTATTACAGAATATATTACTATGTTTTAATGATTAGTTAAGAATGTTAAACATTGTGTGAAAATAATAGGGGATAGGTAGGGAAGGGGAGAAAAAATGTGTTTGTATTTATAAGCTTTAGTAGAGAGTACCTTAATTGGAGACAGGAATTTTCCTGCCTTCCTGCAGGGTATTACAGGAACCTTTAGGTAGTAAGAATAGTAGTTAGGTAAGTTAGTGTAAGTTAAGTTAGGTAAGTTTGATTTTAGATTTTAGTTTAGCATAGTAAGTAAGTTGGTAATTAGTGAAAAGGAACATTAATAGAGCTAAACAAATAAAGAGAACAGTTAAAAACATAGGATAGTTAGGATAGGATAAATATTATTGGTGGGTCTATAGAACGTAACAAAAAAGAGATGTCAAAAATAAAGGTTATTACGCTGAATATCAGAGGTTTGAATAAAAGTATTAAAAGGAAGAGAGTGTACAATAACCTCCTAAATTCGAAACCTGAGGTTTTACTTTTACAGGAGACGCATAAAAAAAAAATTAAGATAGGAATTTTTTTTGTAGCAACTGGTTTACTTTTCAAATACAAGTGTGTGGGAGTTCAAAATCTAGAGATGTAGCAATTATGCTTTCAAGAAATATTAGATTTATGGTGCAAGACATTTTAAGGGACGATAATGGTAGATTTATTTTTGTTAAAGGATTAATGGAAGATTTAAAAAATAACTATAGGTTCCATATATGCTCCAAATTATGGCCAAATTAATTTATTGACAGATACTTTTCAAAAAGTAGAAAAATTTAAAGAAGGAGAAACTATTCTGGGTGGTGACTTGAATTATATAGTTAACCAAAAAATAGAACATCTAGAAACCTTAAAATCCTAAATAGAAGGGTAAATAAGAAAAAAATAAGAAGACAAATTCACTTAATAAAAGATAAGACAGGCAAATTACATTCTAAAACAGAACAAATAATTAAAGTATTTGTAGATTATTACAAAGGTCTATATGCCTCTCAGAAAGTTTCATAATCTAAAATAACTGAGTGTTTTAAAATAAATATGGCAACAAAGATGAAAACAGAACATAAATCCTTTTTAGAGAAAGATTATACAAAACAAGAGATTTTAGAAGCAATTAAAAGCTTGAAGGTAAATAAAGGTCCAGGGCCAGATGGCTTTACTGCAATATTTTATAAAAGCTTTGCACAAATGCTACAAGGCCCACTTTTGGACACTTGTAATTATATTCTTAAAGAGAGTCACCTGCCCCCATCTTGGTCTCAAGCAACAATGGTAGTCATTCCTAAGCCCCCCCCAAATAAAACTATCCCGCAATCATATAGACCAATTTAGCTTTTAACCGTAGCCTTTAAAATTTTTACGTCAATTTTAGCTCAATGTTTAAATAAGATTATCCCAGAATATATATCTTCAGACCAAGTGGGATTCATACCAGGAAGGGATTTGGTGGATAATACTCATAAGGTATTGAACATAAGTCACTATGCTCAAAAAAGTAAAAAACGTATGATCATGCTTTCATTAGACATGGAGACAGCATTTGATTCTATTGAAATACCTTTTTCGAAGACTTTATTGAAAAACATGAATTTTGGTGACAGTTTTTGCTGGCAATTAATTCTATATATGAACACTCACAAGCTTCAATAAACATAAATAATATGCTTTCTCATAGATTTACACTAGAAAGGGGAACAAGACAAGGCTGCCCTTTATCACCATTATTATTTGCCCTTGCAGTTGAACTGTTAGCAATGAAGATTAAAAACACAGGAAATATATCAGGAGTTGTAATAAAAAATACAGAATACAAAATCACACTATTCGCGGATGACATGTTATTATTTTTATCAAGCCCCAAAATATCTCTTAAGAATTTACAGAATGTATTAAAAGAATATAGATTAATCTCAGGATTAAAAATAAATATATTGAAATCAAAATTAATGCCAATTAATATTTCACAAAATGAACAGGAAAAACTACAAAGTTTATACCAATACCAATGTTCCACTGCAACCTTACAATATTTAGGCATTCAATTACCAGCTGATTTGAGCCAAATTTTTTATTACAATCATGACAAATTACAGAAATAAATAAATAAATATACAAATAAAAAACTGGGAAAGATACTGTCATTGATAGATAGATAGATACAACCTAATTAAATCCTCTTTGCTGCCTAAGTTTATATTCCTCTTTAGAGCAATACCTGTAAAAATAACACCAAACCAACTTAAACATGTTACTTAGATTGTTATGGAATAATAAAAAGTCTAGAATTAGTGCATCAACTTTATATCGTCAATGCAGAACTGGTGGTTTTCAAATGCCATGTTTACAAGATTACTATACAGCAATACATTTAAATAGAATAATATTAATGATGCAGGAGGACAATATACCATATTGGGTACAGATCTATTTGGAAAACACTTCACCATATACTGTCTTAGAAACAATATGGCAAAAAAGAAAGGATAGACAACCTATGGTATATTAAAATAGTTTTTTATTAGCATCTTTGGAAATCTGGGACAAACGCAGAGAAAAATTAGTACCAGAATACTCTAGATTTACAACTTTTCTAGGGCAACATTGGTATTTACCAGTGCTGAACAGTATTGAATAATCCTTAATAAAATTATAGGAAAAGAAGTATTAGAAAAGAAATCAGGAACATCAGTGTCTTGGTTCCAATATTATCAGATAAGGCATATGTGTACAATATTACATTTAGAGAAACTTGTAAGACAACCCTTAACAAAATTTGAAATGATAATAAACTCAACTGGACATGATAGGAAAGGTATTATTTCAAAGATAATTCAAATCTTAGCACAGCATAGAGATGAAATATCACTATCAGCCTAGATGGGAAAAATTAGCCTCCAAGCAAATTGATAGAGAAACATGGGAGCGCATATGGAAATCTTTAGAAAATACATCCTGTATTGCTGCAGTTAGAATACAGACATTCAAAATCATGTCATTTTGGTATCTAACACCTGTTCAAATAGCTCATGTTAAAATTTGAGCCCATATTGTTGGAGAAACTAAAGAAAAATGAACATTTACATTGTTGGATGGTTTGTCCCAAAATAAAGGAATTCGGGGGGAAAATATTAAAACAAGTTAAAAGTATCACAGATGTTATTATGCCATTTAAACCAGAAAACATACTCTTAAATGATAGAGAAGAATTTAAGATACATATTGTTGAAAAGATGAGAATAGCAATATTATTGTATGCTGCAAAAGCAGTAGTTGCTACAAATTGGAAATCAGAATGTATACCATCTCTGTTTGCTCGGCACAACAGATTGATGTATTTGTACTTCATGGAAAAAATTACTTAGTCTATACAACTTAGACTTACAGAAAAGAGTAAAATGATGTTCACTGTATGGTTTCCTATTCTTGAATATTTACAGCAACAAGGAGAGATTCCAGAATCTATAGAAAGATTACAATTAGCTTAGTGAGAATGGATAGTGATGTTAAGCCAAAGGTTTATAATGTATTCAACTTGTTATGTGATATTTAATGTTCCGAAAAGGTTGTATATTGTTATATGTTAGAAAGCTTTTAATTTAAAACAATAAATTATTTTTAAAAGCCTGTTTGTATCTGCAAGCATTCAAGAGAATTCAAACCACACTCTGAAGTCATAACTAGTTTAAGTTTATGTGCCTCAGCTATGTTTCTGACTACTGAAGATTTGTGCTGCTGATCTGTTCCTTGAAACCAACCTGTAATAACATCTTTTTTGTTATGTATTTGGAACTCCTGCTCAATGATCTCCATGTTCTACTAGCACACCACAAAGCTTACCTCACAAGAGTGAACTCAAAGCCTTTACACTTGCTACATTAAGGTCCCTGCCACACGAGGGGAAAAAAGGATGGGCAAAGTGCGGCTTTTAAAAGCCGCACCAAAATAGGCATGCAGCGGCGGGATCAGATGCCGGGGAGACCGGGGAGGAAGCCACGGGAGGCTGCCAAACTGTGCATGTCTGAGCATGCGCAGTTCGACCAGGAGCCGGGGATGCGCCGGCGGAAGAACGTGCCAGCGATCCCACGGCCGGCTTTGATGCGGCCTTTCGGAAAGAACCACCTCGGTAGGTGGTTCTTTTTTGCTGTGGGTTATCGTTGGAAGGGCCGGATCGGGGATGGGCGTGCAACGCTTCCCAGATATTGCGGTGGGATCGCGCCCTTTTGCTCCGCCCCCGATCCGTCCCTCTCCCGGCCCAAATCCTCTCATGTAACCGGGGCCAACGAACATCTTGTAATTGAAAGGAAGGTTCACAGTTTAAAGCACACCTGGTTCCCCAAAAGCATAGGAGACTATGTGGGTCCCCTCAGCAGAAAAGACCTGTCACAGTGGGGCTGCCAATACAAAGTCTGATTGTGCAAATTACAAAAATATACAAAACACACCATGGAAACAGCTTAGTGTTTGTTGTTGCAGTGTGTTACATTTTTGTGGCTATTCCAGTAGTGTGAATGGGGTAATGAGGTTGTTGTCACCCATTTTGTCAAAGACTGAAGTTAACCTATGTTTAATTGAGATGTATAAAGATTCTGTAATAGCTTCAGGAATTGGTGGTCTAAAAAGCTGTTTACAAAGCTTATTATTTTAATATATCTTTGCCTTTATTCAGGTAACCCCTGTATTCTGCCTCTTCAAATAGTTCAAGGAGGCTTGTTTAAGAAACATAAAATTCAGCTAACATACAGTGCACGTACCAGTTTAGCTGAAGCATGGAACAAAATGTAAGTATTGCTGTTACTAGTAACTGAATGATTTTTTAAATGACAAATGTTGTCATCATGGCTGCCATGTTCTGAGTGTTCATAGCTGAAAATTGTTGTTCTGGTTTAGCTTTTCATAGATTTCCTAATAAGTAGGAAACATAGTAATGTAATGTAATGTTGCTTATTTCACATGTGACCTACAAACTATAGTGAGGACAGTCCCAAGTTATGGAAGGTCATTGGCAAAATGCATTCTGTGGCCTCTTGCCCCCCCCCACTAGGTGTGCTCTTCATCTGTCAAATGGAGGATAGGTGGTAGTCCCCACTTGCTGCCATCTGCTAATCTCATCACCTGCTAATCTCATAATCAGGCAAATGGCAAATGTTGCTGCCTAGATGAGGGAGGTGAACAAATACTTAGGGGTTGAGACACCACTGCCTGCTCTCCATATAACTGGTGAAGGGGGGGCTGCTCCTTCTTCAGGCACCGAGGGTAGGGTCTTGAGGCACCAGTCCCAGCGCCACTACCCTAGAGAGTGAGCAAGCAGCAGTGGCTATTCGTGTGGTTCCTCTTGCACCCTTGGCAAGCTTTCAAGGTTATCAGCCCCTGATGCCGGATCTGATTTATAATATCATGTAGGATCTTAATAGTGGTGCTTTTAATTCTCTGTGATATAAGCACAGTGTTGTGTGTAACTCTATTAGTTAAGCAGCAGTCACTCTTCTTTGCTAATGTCTTGTATATTGGCATAGTGAGGCTTGAGAGTGGGCTGCAAATTCTCCATGCCTCTATCTGTTCTGCTTCAAGTGGTTGCTATATCACCTTTTGCAACAGAAAATTCAGTAAGTTAATTGATTGGGTCAATATGTGTTCGTTGTGAAAAAGAGATTGAGTTTCTAGACGCGCTCAATGACTGTGCAATGGAGCAGATGGTCACAGAATCAGCCAGGGGAGAGGTGATCCTGGATTTGGTCCTAAGTAACACCCAAGACCTGGTGAGAGATGTAAAAGTGATTGCCCAAAAAGACCGACACAACCACTTTTAACTTTAAAAGAGGCAACTTCTCTGAAATGAGGGGGCATGTGAAGAGGAAACTGAAAGGAAAAGTAAAAAGGGTCAAAACCATTGGGAAAGCCTGGAGACTATTTAAAACTACAATCCTAGAAACTCAGATAAAATATATACAGAAAAAGGCCTATATGGTTAACAAACAAAGTAATGGAAGCTGTAAAAGGTAAGAAAGATTCCTTTAAGTGGTGGAAAGCTAGTATCAGTGAGGCGGATAAAAGGGAACATAGGCTGTGGCAAATAAAATGCAAGTCTGTGATCAGGCAGGCAAAAAGGGAATATGAGGAGCATGTTGCAAAAAAAATAAAGACCAATAATAACACTTTCTTCAAATACATTAGAAGCAGGAAACTAGCCAGGGAGGCAGTGGGCCCTTGGATGACCAAGGGGTAAAAGGAGTACTGAAGGATGATAGGGAAATGGCTGAGAAGCTGAATGCATTTTTGGCCTCTGTCTTCACTGTGGAAGATGAGAAGTGCTTGCCCACTGCAGAACTGCTGATTTTGGGAGGGGTTTTGAAAGACCTGAGTCAGATTGAGGTGACGAGAGAGGAGGTCCTACAACTGATAGACAACTTAAAAACTGATAAATCACCATGCCCAGATGGCATACATCCAAGAGTACTGAAAGAACTCAAATTTAAACTTGTGGATCTCCTGACAAAAATATGTAATCTTTCCTTAAAATCTGCCTCCATTCCTGAGGACTGGAAGGTAGCTAATGTCACTCCCATCTTTAAAAAGGGTTCCAGAGGAGATCTGGGAAATTACAGGCCAGTCAGTCTGACGTCGATACCGGGTAAATTGGTGGAAACCATTATTAAGGAAAGAATTAGTAGGCACATAGATGAACAAAACCTATTGAGGCAGACTCAACATGGGTTCTGTAAGGGAAGATCTTGTCTCACTAACCTATTAGTGTTCTTTGAGGGGGTGAACAAACATGTGGACAAGGGGGATCCAATAGATATTATTTACCTTGACTTCCAGAAAGCTTTTGATAAAGTTCCTCATCAAAGGCTCATAAGTAAGCTCAAAAATCATGGGATAAAAGGACAAGTCCTTTTATGGATCAAAAACTGGCTAGTTCATAGAAAACAGAGAGTGAGTGTAGGTGGGCAATTTTCTCAGTGGAGGGTGGTAAGCAGTGGGGTACCGCAGGGTGAAGTGGCTACATTTGTGGATGACACAAAATTGCTCAGGGTGGTGAAAACTAGGGAGGATTGTGATCCAAAGGGATCAGTTGGGGATGGACGAGTGGGCATCAACGTGGCAAATGGGGTTCAATGTGGCCAAGTGCAAAGTGATGCACATTGGGGCCAGAAATCCTAACTATAAATACACATTGATGGGGTCCAATCTGGTGGAGACTGAGCAAGAGAGAGATCTTGGGAGTCCTAGTAGATAACTCACTGAAAATGTCGAGACAGTGTGTGGCTGCAATAAAAAAGGCCAACGCTATGCTGGTGATTACTAGGAAGGGGATTGAAAACAAATCAGCCAGTATCATAATGCCCCTGTATAAATTGATGGTGTGACCACATTTGGAATTTTTAGTGTTGTTCAGTTGCACAGTTGAGTCCGACTCTTCGCGACCCCATGGACCACATCACGCCAGACCCTCCTGTCTTCCAGAGTTTACTCAATTTCATATTCGTTGCATCAGTAACACTATCTAACCATCTCATCCCTTGCCATCCCCTTCTTCTTTGACCTGCAGTCTTTCCCAGCATCAGTGAGTGCTCCCTTCTCATCTTTCTCCAGTGAGTGCTCCCTTCTCATTTGGTGGCCAAAGTATTTCAGCTTCAGCTTCAGTATTTGGCCTTCCAGGGAACAGTCAGGGTTGATTTCTTTGAGGATTGACTGATTTGTTCTTCTTGCAGTCCAAGGGACTCTCAAGAGTCTTCTCCAGCACCATAGTTCAAAAGAATCTATTCTTCGGCGCTCGGCCTTCCTTATAGTCCAACTCTCGCAGCCATACATGACTACTGAAAGACTATTGAAAGAGGTAGTCAATCTTTAAAGGTACAATTGTGGTCTTAGGGTACTGTCTCAGTGATGATCTGGTTCTTATAGATCCACATGGGTCAATGCAGGGGTAATTCATGAGGACAACCAGATGGATTTCACCTAGAGAACTGGTGTTGAGTAGTGATGGGCATGAACTGGGAAAATGTGGTATGGTTCATGGTATGCCAGCTTCATGATTCTGTTTAGTTTTTTTGATGTTGAGTTTCAAGCCAACGTTTCCACTCTCCTCTTTCACCCTGAGCAAGAGGCTCTTTAGGTCCTCTTCCCTTTCTGCCATTAGAGTGGTATCGTCTGTATATATGAGGTTGTTGATCTTTTTCCTGGCAACCTTAATTCCGGCTTGTGGTTCATCCACGCTGGCATTTTGCATGATGTACTCTGCGTATACATTAAATAAGCAGGGTGATAATATACATCCTTGCCATACTCCTTTTCCTATGCTAAACCAATCAGTGGTTCCATATGTGGTTCTAAGTATTGCTTCTTGACCCTTATACAGGTTTCTCAGGAGACATGTGAGGTGGTCTGGTACTCCCATCTCTTTAAGGACTTGCCACAGTTCGTTGTGATCCACACAGTCAAAACTTTTACAAACTAGTACAAATGGTGTATTAAGCTTCCCAGCAGAGTGATTTGAAAATGCATAAATATGAAGAAACGCTTTAGAAAACATGCACTTACTCATGAAACATGAAAGGTGTCAAGGTATTGCTAGGGGTATGTGCTGAAAAGAAAAAATGTTATAATTTTGGATCCAAGCATGGGGGGTTACTGTGATTGTTTCTTTTCAGAGGTAGGACATTACTGGTTTGGTATTCAGATCCTTGTGATTTTTCAGGTTCTGGAGTTCAGGCCCAATATTTTTGTTGAGGAATGCACATAAGGGTCTCTTGCTGGCATATGGAGTGCAGCACTTTAACAGCATCATCTTTTAGGACTTTGTATAGCTCAGCTGGGATACTGTCATCTCTGCTAGCTTTGTTGTTAATAATGCTTTCTAAGGCCCATTTGAGTTTGCACTCCAGGATGTCTGGATTGAGGTCAGCAGTCACTCTGTTGTGGTTGTCAAGGACATTGAAATCCTTCTTGTATAGTTCTTCTGTGTATTCTTGCCACCTTTTCCTAATCTCTTCTGCTTCTGTTAGGTCCCTATTGTTTTTGTCCTTTATCATGGCCAGCTCTCTACAAAATGTTCCCTTGATTTGTCCAATTTTCTTGAAGAGATCTCTAGTCCATCCCATTCTATTGTTTTCCTCTATTACTTTGCATTGTTCATTCAGGAAGGCCTCCTTATCTCTTCTTGCTGTTCTCTGGAAATCTGCATTCAGTTGGGTAAATCTTTCCTTTTCACCTTTGCCTTTCACTTTCCTTCTTTCCTCAACTATTTGTAAAGCCCCATCAGACAGCCACTTTGCTTTCTTGCATTTCTTTTTCTTTGGGCTGGTGCTGATTGCTGCCTCCTGTACAATGTCACGAACCTCCGTCCATAGTTCTTCAGGCACTCTGTCTATCAAATCTAGTCCCTTAAACCTATTCTTCACCTCCACTGTATATTCATAAGGGATGTGATCTAGGTCAAACCTGAATGGCCTAGTGGTTTTCCCAACTTTCTTCAGTTTAAGCCTGAATTTTGCAATGAGTAGCTC